GTCCCTTATTATGTCTACTCCGCACCTTATATATATATATATATATATATATATATATATACATATATATACTCCGACTCCGGTCAACACAAGTGCTAGAACTACATTGCAAACTAACTGAACTTTGGTGTCGCCTGCACGAAATCACTGCACTCCACGATGCTTTTCGGAATATTTTAATCTCATCAAGTAAAGAGAGCAGACATCGAGTCCAGGACTATTGGATGGTAGTTAGGACTTCCACCTCTTTAATCACTAAATCACGATGCTCAACACTTGGCACGACGTGTATTTTAACATGATTCTCCAACCTAACTAAAGTGCTTTGTAAATCATTGTTGCTTGGTTTCACAATTGTTCTTATTGGACTGAATGGTGTGAGCGGTCCGCCACAGGCGGCATGTGACTGTGAGTAACCATTTTACTATCGTTGATCGTTCGATAGCAAATATAAAGGGCAAAATTTCCAGGGTTGAAAATATGACCAACGACACCATTGTGCCATGTGTGACATTGATGCAAACGTTTCTTCCAACGATCACTTCACTTGTCCGTTTGTGGTCATTTTACCACATTTACCTCAGTTGCTAAAACGATCATCTATTTCATCGAAAACTAATGTGTACTTTATCCTGAGCCGATTTTGAGGGTTTGCGGATTTACAACTGGAAAGGGAGAGGGCCAACATTTTACCACCGTCACTTGCGGCAAAAGCATATACTATGCCACTGCAGGATTCTGTACACATTTTGGCTGATATGTGATCACTTTGGTAAAACGTTTGCCCTTTTCTAATAATACGGAAAGAATAGTTCACTGACTGGTATCAATATCTTCAAGCTGAAAGATCAACTAAGCAAAGAGGAAACAATTAATTTAATATACCAGATCTGCTGCCAACTGTGACGAATAGTACTTGAGACAGACACACCAACGCAATGAGCCTGGACCTTACCGTGTTACGATGGTCTGCGTGCTTCAGAGATCCATTGAGCTATGCTGGGTGGTGCCTTTTTACACCTTCAGAGCCACTCATACCAGATTGGTCAATGGTTAGAGGCCAGACAAACTCAGCCTCCTGGTCCTCCAGGTTGGGGGTTGCAATGAGGGTGGCATTTTATTCCTGAAAACAGACTCCAACGATGAACCCGCTGCCTTGCGGTAAGGCTTCTGAACCAAAGGCTTTGGTTGAGAACCTTAATCGTTCTGCTGTCTAAACCTGGACAAAGTGACATTATCCTGCCCATGCAATACTATGAATCTTTCATTAAACCATTTTCTGATGCTCTGGCCACAGCGGAGGATAATCAATGGTGTGTTATCTGCTGCATCGAACAGGGTGGATAGGGGTTTGGATGCTACTGCTCAAGTCTTCCTATCTTCTTATTCCCCTCTTACGCATTTTCATTCTTACCTCGCCGTTACAGATTCCCTTTTATCTCCCTGTTTTCAATCCACCAATACTTCGCCCTTCTGACCTTGCTTTGATAGGCTTTTACATAATAGTTTCAAATCACATGTGAACGGGGATCGTCATTCCTGCCCTGTCAACAGGCCCATGTCCAAGCAAGCGGTCAAGCCCATTTCATCGGCTTCCATTTGGAGCCCACGATCCTCCTTCAGATTGGCATGCCTCAATGTACGCACATTGCAACAGATAGGTCAACAGGCATCATTTGCCCGAACATTAGAGACCCTATCGATCGATATCCGCTGCTTATCGGAGACCCGCCTGCAAAACTCGAACTCAGTGCTCACTTTGCGATCCACTTCATGTGACACTAGCAGCACTTTCTTATTGCGCCTATCTGGTGACCATGCAGCTTCGAGCACCGGTGTTGGTATTGCTCTGAGTCCCCGGGCTGAAGCTGTTCCGGTTGATTGGATCCCAATCAGTAGCCGGATGTTTGCGGTCCGATTGGCTGGCTCGTTCAAAGCTTCGAAGTCGCGCGGGACTAACAGGTGTCTATACGTCATCGCTGCCTACGCATCCACGAACTCTAGCGATCATTCGGTAAGTACGACTTCTACTGTCGACTATGCAAGTTCCTTCGCCACAGAAGAAGAAGCTCAGACACTGAAGTACTGGCTGAGGATCTAAACGCTCAAGTGGGAAAATTATCCACTGATGAGCTGCATCTGAGCGGCCAACATGGTGTAGGTTTCCTTAATGATAACAGTGAGCAGTTATTTCATTTGTGTGAAGATGCTCACTTATTTCTTGCGAGCACTAATTTCCGATACAGCACCCGTGGTAAATCTAATCGCCAACATGAATATTGGGTCTGTTCGCAGCCTACGGAACTTAACGATGCTCACCGGCACATTCCTGCTGGAAGCGAACACAATGAAACACGCAGCACAGTCCGGCAAAACGCCGTGCTAGCCTGAAGAAAGACCGCCGCTACTGATCGTCTCATCTTGCATCAGAGATCGAAATGGCTGCTGGGCTTGGTACTCATCGTAAGTTATTCCGTCTGCTACGGAAAACGGGCAACAGGACACCTGGTGTTTGTGGAACTATACGTGACTCTTGGAGCGTTGGGCTGCGCAGTTGGAAAGGCCATTTTATCAATCGAAATTGTCATATTTTTCACCGGGCGGTGATCACCCTGCTTCGTGGACTGTTCCTTTCGATCCACCCTCTCGCTCAGAAGTCGAACGTGAGATCAGATGGTTGAAGTTACGTAAAGCAGCGGGACCAGGTGAGCTTCCTCCAGCCCTCCTTACATTCAAGGGAACTGCTCTTGTGGATTATTTCTACGAGTTATTATTGAAACTGTGGGAGCGAGAAACGGTCCCAAATATCTGGAGCCGCTCCGTCATTTGTCCCAATTTTCAATGGTGGCTCACGATCGGAATGCGGCAACCACAGAGGAATCAGTCTAATCTCCATCGCCTCCGAATCGCTTGCCTCTGTAATTCTTTACAGAGTTACTGGCACTCGTGAAAGCCGGATTCGTGAAGAGCAAGCCGGGTTTCGTCGAGATCGTGGCTGCATTGACCACGTCTACACTTTGCGTAAGTTGTTGGAGCACCATCACATATATTGGCGGCCCACCGTTGTCGTGTTCCTTGATATCAAATGTGCATTGGATTCGGTGGATCAGTGTGCCCTTTGGGACTATCTAGTCAAGAAATATGTGCCAAGGAAACATGTAAATATTATTCGCGCCTTGTAGGCGCTTAGCACGGGCTGAGTGAGGGTTTACAGCAAGCTGTCGCCGCTCTTTAATATCTCTAGCGATGTGAGACAAGGATGCCGGCTGTCACGTTTCGTCTTCACTTTCGCTATTGATGAAGTCATGGAAATCGCGTTCACAGGACACGACTTAGAAGGTGTGGATCTGCGTCCAGGAGAAGGAGTACTTGACTTGGAGTATGCTGACGATGTTACTCTAATCTGTGGTAGCTCACAAACATGCCAAACGGCTCTGGACAAATTAGCACTGACGGCCAGTCACTTCTGGCATAGCTTCGCACCCTTGAAGTGCAAAACGTTCCTCCAAGGTTGGCCTGAACCGCCTCCTACGCTGACCCTTGGTGGGAATCAGCTAGATGTCCAAGAATTCAACCACCTGGGAAGTTGTGTCAGCGCTCGTGGGATTAAAAATAAGATCAGGAACCGTATAGCAGAAGCTCGAAGCGCTTTTGCTAACATTCGCCACTAATAGCGCTGGTGCCACATCACTTTGCCCTGAAGGGAAGAGTGTAAATGCAGCAGTACCTTCGACTCTACTGTACGTTTGTGAAACCTGTCCCTTTGGATCAGTGGATATAAGGAGGCTAGTTAGGTTCGACCACCGGTGCCTTCGTCGTTTGGCTCATATCTGGTGGAAACTCCGAGTCAGCAACTAGCGTGTTCGACGCCTTGTTTACGGCAAAAGAGAGGAAATGAACCTCTCAGCACCGTTACTTCAAGCACCAGGCTCCGATGGCTCAGCCACATATTACGCATGCCAGCCAACCGACTCGCGCGAAGTGCGTTGTTTATGGGCCGGGGTGTGGATGGAAGAGGAGGGGTGGCCAAGCGATGACTTGGTCGAGAGGATTGAAGACCCTTACATCAAAGCTGGTTTCGGTTGGCGCGTCACGACTTCTTGATTGGGGTCCAAAAGAAGAAGAACATGTTTGGCTGGATACACTTGCTGACTTGGCCAGCAGTTGATCTCAATGGAGTTGATGTAGTGAGTTGCTTTGTTCGTCCCATCCCGGTTAGCCTCCCCCTCTAACGACGATCTCACTACTTAGCCTTATATATTATTGCATAGTAATATTTTTGCTGCTTACTAGCCGGCTGGTAGCTTGCCGGAACGATGCCCATCCGTTATCGATAGGCCGCTGGCTTGCATTTGCTTCATTTTTCCCTTCTTTTATGTATGCGGCACCATAGCTGAGGTGATTCCCACATCTAGCTCATGTGTATAATGTATAATGATGGGACAAACAGGAGGAAACTTTGACACAAGGCTGCATGAACACAACCTAGCTATTCGTGACTACCATCAGAACTCCTTGATGTCCGTAAATGTGGATGCCCGGAAGTTACCAGTCCGACATGAAACACGCGAAAATCCTAGGAAGAGCCAAAAACCTGCTAGTAGGTGCGTTTACAGGAGCTGGACATTCAAAGCAGTATTCTATCAATGGGCGCATGCCACTAGAGACCATTTACGAGGCTCCGTGAACTAGGCTGTTGAAGCGGCACTGATGTTATTGACTACTCTGGCAAAGAAACGTCGAGAAACTTACAGCTCATCAAAGTGAACAAGGTAAAATTCACATCTGAACTCCAGCAACTGACATTCATTAGTACTTCACATTATAACTTAATATATCCAAAAAATATCCATTCGTATAAGGGAAGCTAGAGCTATGGCTTTCATAGCACTCATTCCCGAACAAATTCGGAATCGTCTCGGTGTCTTGCAAATTAACTTCACTCAACACGACCATTCTATAGTAAGATACTCGTCATGTTTTACTGTGATGCGCATTGACTAGAACGCTCCTAATAAGAACAGTTGTTGAGAAACGATCATTGAAGAAAGTAGCATAATTAGTACTGGAATGTGCTTGGTTTTCCGTGAACGACATGCCAAAGACGTCTCACACGAAATATCTTGAGATCTTACCTGATGAAAAAATTCCGAAAGTAGTCGATTGATCCATGGGCCAGCAACTTTTAGCGGGCGACATTCGTTGGATATGTCACAAACTTTAATGTAAATCATCATCACCAAATCCCTGCGAGTTTTATCTGAACTCCACACCGGTAGGTTAGTTTCGGGATCGGTGCGCCAAGCAGTTTCAAGATCCATTAATATCACATCGTTAAATTGACTAAGGATGTCATTGTGCCGCGACATATCGGTAGCCAGGATACACCTAAGGGAGAAAGAAATGACTTCATTAGCTTATGTCAAATACACTAATCTTCATATGTCTGTAGATTTGTAGCAGGAACTGTGGTGACGGACCGACCACCATTGGCACCTAGTGCTCAGGTAAGTACATTAACTCACCGGCATATCTGCTCCAAGCTTTCTGGCATGTCTACTGAAATAAGATTAGATAACCATGGTCACCGCTTAAAATGGAATTGCAGTCATCTCCCCATTTCAGGCGGAATTTGTATCAGTCTAATAATGGGTCATCGGATTAATGGAAGAAACGATTCTAACTCCGAGTTCGATAAAAAGCATTGAAAAACTGAGAGAAATTTGTATGTGCCTGCTCGGTATTCGAGTCGCTCGTAAAATGACTTGTTTCCTGCTCCCTCCTCGGCTTTTGTCCCCGAGGCAATGGTAAAACGAGGCAAATGGTAAAACGTCGAGTATGATCCACTGTCAATCTTCAAAAGATACACTATCGTGAGTTATCCACACCGATGTGATGTGGTTATTTCATTCACTGAAATAAAAGGTTGAGTGTAGTGTGACTAATATATTAGCGACAAAGTGCGTGGTTTGTTGCGCGAATGTTCAGCGTAAATACTGGTACGTCAGGCATGGTATCTTGTCATTATTGGTACACCATTTGGGCGACACGCTGACATTTAACGGTGTTTCGTCTGCCAACCCATTTGTTTTTTATAGTCATCCTATCAATTTGATATAAATGCCACACCAATCAATTACTAGTTCACTTGGCTTGACGAAGCTTTTGGGTTAAAAGTAAGGCCTTGCCCATTCATTGAGCCAACCGACTGTTTACAAACTGTTTTGAACACAAGAAGAAACCAGCTTTTCATGCGGCTCAAGTAAATCTTAAACAGATTGCCCCAATACTGGTCTGTCATTATGCGCTCATAGAATACGTGAGTTATAAAACCCAGTTAATGTCTTCAGTAGAACGCTACCCGCACAACTTTGGTTATTAGTCATTAAAATTCCTATACCATACATACCTACGTGAAAGCGGTCGTAGCTCTCATTAGGATTGTTATACTCGACTAGTCACCATGTGCACTGTTAGGCCTATTGTCAGTCAATTGCCAGTGAATTGATGTATTCGAGAGGAATTGCCCAAACAATCGTAAGAACTCTCATTGGATTCAATGCTTGTTACTGACTGATGGCAAATGTGATTACAACCATAATCCTCACCACTTCATTGAACAGACCCTAATCCACCGAAAAATCCTCTACTTGAGACAGTAGTTGCTATTCATTATCTGCATTATCCTCCAGACGTTTAGGTGGTCTAATGGGACTTGCAACGATCGGCAGCTAAAATGCGCAAGATTTTTACAAGCATATTCCAACTTACTCGCGGACACGCGAAATCTGTACACATGACTAGCGCAAAAAAGTTAGATACCCTTACTTATTGGTTTACTCATCTATTTGTATAGCTAGACCAAGAAACTTCCTTTCTAAAGCGTTGATTTCAATTTAGCTGAGCTTAAAAGCCGGACGAGTGCTCTCCGTCTAACAGCGTGACAGGTTTACTGCCCTTAGTGAACACAAAGGGCGCTTTAGTTCAACCCCAGTGATTACCACTTGTGAAGTCCGTGGCCTGCTGCTCGGTGGAGTGATGGTAATTGCGGTAACCAGTTCTGTTACCACCATCTGAAGAGCACGAACAAGTAGAAGTCCATCGCGTCTTGTAGTAGGCAACATCTGACGATTAGCTGCTTCAGGTACTTTCCCTGTGAGCGAACCCGACGGAGATTCACTTCAACATTAGCGGTGGTTTACAATGGGGTCAAGTATCCTAATCCACTTGAGTAACTAGTACTTCAAATGACCGCATAATGCTTAGTGCTAACTTGATTATCTCAATTGGCACTAGAGAAAGTTTAATCCCACATGCAAAAGCATCGTCGTAATTCCCGACATCCTCCTCCCTAAGAGTGGGACCAAACTGGAATTCTGATGGTGGCAACTAGAACCATGAACTGCGTGCATTGCAACTGCCATCTATGTGTGCAGGTTCCCATGGTATAAACAGAAATACATATGGTAATCAAATAACAAACAACGTGATCTGGAAGACTCCAATATTGAAAATACACAACACAATGGATTTGGCTCTTACAAACCGCTCAAAGAAGAGCACTGATTTACTAATTATAGTACTACTTGCTGCTGGTCGACTATTTAGTCGAATCGATTTTTCAATGTATTACTGAATCAGTTCTCCTTAATCCGTGTAAGTGGACAACTACAATATGCTGCTGTCGGCAAAACTATCCTTCATCAAATAGTGCTGTATAAACAATCAGTGAACTCCAGTTTACAGAACTGGTGGACACACAGTGCACAGTAAACCCACGGCCGATGCTCTGAACCGACACGCATTGAGATCGGCAGGGTTGATGGACATAGTGTTGGTAACTGCAGCAGATGGTGGGCGCGTCAGTAATGCTAGGTACTATGAGTTGAGTTATTAGTTGTAAGTAATTAGATGTTTTCTCCATTTAGCTGCGGTCTTGGGGCATTTGAAGTTATTCCGTTTTCTTTGGATCCAGATATATTTCACTTCCACCGAGGCAAGTGCTGTCAAACACGGTCCATAAAATTGTGCGCCAAATTAGCACACAACGTGGTATAGCAACGTTCTAAGGTAGCTTGGTGCGCACATGGCTCTGTCGGGTGTATACAAGTAGTCACATTAAGTGCTGCCACATACTCAACTGAGCCGATGCTTTGTCATGGTTCTCCATCTGTTCCCTTTGCGTAATCCGAGGGTTTATTGTGCCCCGGAGTCAGTAGTGACTGACACATTTTGATAAGTACGCAATAAACACCTGGTTTGGTGGTAGGTGCGTACTCTAAGTGCACCCATAAAAGGTTGGGATTGATAAAGTTATGTGGCGTGTATGTAAAGGCACTAATCAGAACACGGCAATCCGTAGAGCTAGTACTGAGTTAGCACAGACACAAGTAGCGAAACCTTCTGGTGGGTTTAATTTACTAGCAGCAGAAAGCGAGTATGCCACCATGTTTCCCATTAAGTAAAAACAGAGACAGTAAGGAGCAGTTAAAGCAGTTTGGTTGGAACTTTGCACGGATGTTGAATCATTTCAAGACCAAGGTAACATCAAATGGTTGCCGTCACTGGACAATATTACACGAGAACATTCGTCACCATCCTGTTTACACACAGCACAATGAAAGTGTCTACAGTAACTAACTCGTTCAGCCGCACACATTACGGTGACGTAATACAGCGGGTAGAATGGTAATTTGAGAAATGGCAACGTAATAATCAACAGTTCGAATAGTGGATGTGCATCCTTAGATGCAAAAAAGCGAATGGTTGTGCATCATCAATCGCCTTCTTCTGCAACAGTTTTCATTAAGCTGTAGCTACAAGAAAAGTAGATAAAAGTAGAGCCTCATTTATCCGACTTGATGTGAACATTCCCATCAGTTCGAATTTAGGCCCAGGATCACGGAAGCTAATCTTGTACTAGTGAAGGCATATTAAAAGCACAAATGCATAGTTCAAATAACTTACAACGCATACAAGTCTAAGAAAGTCGAATCACTAGGAATGGAAAGCACCAGTTTTTCTAGGGCCAAAGGAATCGCCTGTCCTTTTTATAAGTCGTACAAATGAATAAAAATTGATCAAATCAACATATTGGAGAGAGAGCAAGTAATGCTTCGACATGTCTCTGCATATCATAAGGTAACCAGACACCGAAATCGTGCTACCACTCGAATACATTTTCGGTTGTCATACTTGTTCGATATAGGAAGGAAGCACTTGGGTTTGCGTTCGAAAGAAATAAGATACTTAATACTAAAGACAGTGTAAACCATTTCGCCTTACCACAACTGAAATTTATCACAAAGTTTACGACTAATAAAACATGCTGGTACAGCAACTATTGGTCATCACCTTGCATACACATTACAATAGATATGCTGTCGAGTTTTCCACCAGGTGAATGCCTGTAGACCAAGTGATGAAAGATAAAAGTTACCCATATTCATTTAAGCTGTATTGTCTGGTTCAACCACACATACAGTCTCATGCCCATGAAGCTGGATCCGTATCCCTGTTCCCAATGCGAGTAATTCACGAAGATCTTTCGGTGCATACGAAGTAAGTAGGACGCCTTTTACACGCAACGAATAAAGAACCATACTCATTGTTGAGGGTAATTTTTAAGTACAGGTTGTGCGGATGGATTGCGATGCATAATCTCAATGTTGATCGCGATTCCCATTAAGATTGTACGTCGCAATCCATCCACACAACGTGTACTTAAAAATGACTCTCAACATCGTTCCTTAAACCGTTAAACCAAGCGGTGCCCGTCGTGACCCGGTGGATTATATGTAGCGGTCACAACTAAAATCCCATTGGTCCCGGGTTCGACGCCTACTAACTCTATCTGATTAGATATAATAACATCGAAACTCGTCATATTAGCGCAGTGTTTTCCGGCGGGCAACACCCAGTTTCTAATTGAACCATACTCCTTATTTGATAAAATCATCCAAACACAACAACACCTGCGACTTTGTTAACTCCAGTTATCGTACTCTAAAGCGTGTAAAAGTTGACTGGGTAAAATTCTAATTGTTAACATAAACACGTCACTACGTTTCTATGGAACAATTAGCTATGTCTCATTGCTGTTTCAATAAAGTTAGTGGTATTTTTGCACCACAATGGAAGACCGAATCAGTGAGGTGAATATCACTTTAAGGAAGCATGAACTGATGTTTCCCATCGATTACGTTGGACACATACGTGAGAATTGCCGAAACAATGTAACCCAATATTCTTTTTTGTATAACTGGTGTTGTTTTGTTATCGAAGCGCCAACAAGCTGGCGACTGCGGGGGTATACAATCCAACCGGTCTATGGCGACCAGCAAAACACATCTTCAATGTTATAGGTAGAAATTCGTCACATCTAGACTCACTCAGACAGCCGCCACACTACAGAAAAGCACTGTGCGCGCGCTTTATTCTTTCGGGAATCATCAGCAGTGCGCATTCCATCGGACCCTTGGTAGGGCTGGAACCCGCAACTCGACTGATGCCAGTCCGTGGTTGAGACCACTGAGCGCGTACAGTGCTTTTCCGGGCGTGTGGCGGCTGTCTGAGTGAGTCTAGATGTGACGAATTTCTACCTATACCATTCAACTCCCCCTACTACTCTTCTGTAAACATCTCCAATGTATTTTCCTATGGGGAAAGTCCCTATGCATGTACTTGTG